AAAATGAAAGGTTTGGTACCAGCGTTGCAATTTTTTCAGGTCAAAATTACTGTTGAAACGTTGACTGACGGTTTTATGGACGGAATTAAAGGCTTGGGACCAACGCTGCAACTGCATATAAAGGTTTGGGACTTCTGTCGCAAAAATAAAAGGTTTGGGTGTAATCTACAACAAAATGAAAGGTTTGGGACCACGGCCGCAATTTTCCCCATTTATTAATATGAATTTCATTACTTCAAAAAAGTCAATAGATAAAACCCTTCTTTTGTCTTTTGTTGAATGATGAGTGGGTTGCTTTGCAATGTGAGAGTAATGGCCAGCATTATAAGGCGCACAATTTGATGAGTTGGTTGGAGTTGGATAGTTTGAGGATTGAAAATTTGAATATTTTGTGATTTGACAAAATCCCACAATAGGTCACCTCATTGTCCATTTGATCCCACCTAATGGTTGGTGCTCTTGAATTTCGACCACTAGGTGTTCCACACGTGACAAATATACAACCTTATTATATTTCTCACGACAGAACTTCTCAAAATATAATACAGTAGTCGTCTTTCTACGCTCTCAAATATTTATATCCAATCTATGGCAATCTTTACCCGTCTCTCTTAATGGTGTCAAAGTGGTTCGACGCTGCCTGGCCCACATGGCACTTAGGTAGTAGGCCAGTAAAAAAAATAAAAAAATAATTAGGACAAAATATTTTTGTTCCGACAGACCTTGATACGAGACTACAGATACTGATACATTCAAGGATTGAGAAGGAGAAAAGACATACCAATGACATCACCAATTTGGAATTTTTTTGGGGCAGACCACTGCTTATAATCAACATTTCCAATGGTGGTCCAACCTGCAGAATCTCCCACCTTATAAACCTCTCCAATGGAAACCTTCACTGAAGAAGTTAAGATGAGAAGCAGAACTGCCAAAACTGTGTTTTCAAGAACAAAGGCCATGACGGCTTTTCGCAAATTCTATCAAATTTCTGAGAAAAAGTTTTTGACTTGTGATGAAGAAACTGAAGAGACAATTTTCTGTTTTTGGAGTTTTGGGTCAGTTTATGAAGATTTGGGACTTCTGGAGGTTAATTTGGAGCTTTCAGAATGGACCCTTCTTGTTATGATGATGGCTAGCCCCCCTTTAGAGGCTTTAACGAAAGTGGGCTCCCTCCATTAATTTAATTCTTCACTTCTCCTAAAAAGAGACACATTTCACTCAAATTTGAAGGTTTGTGGAAAAATGGTTGTATTAAAAATTAAAATATAAATGTTAACAAGAAATCTTATTTATTTATTTTAACACAATATTGTTAGTAGAAGTCTATATGTGGGGTAAAATATTGTTTTTATGTCTAGTGTACAATGAACATTCTAGCGATCAAAATATTGTATAAAAGAAAAAATTCTTTTTTTTCGATTCAATCTTGAAGTTTTACATTTTGTTTTTGGCAGAATACTTTTATATTTTGATGGGCCTCTGGTATATAATTTACTAAATACATTTTTTCTTATCGAGATGAAAAAATAAATAATTTTATTATCGCTTTAAAAGGTTAAGGTTTTAAATTAGAAGGTTTAATATGATAGCATAGATAAGTTAACGTAAATTTTATTGTTAATTATATATAAAAAAAAATTACGTCTGAAGTGACATTGAATGAAAAAATAAATCTAACGAGAAGTATATTTTCCCCACACATTCAATTCTTAAACTGCAAACACCACAAAATCTATTTAATTAATTGATGGAATGTAATATTGAGGTAAAATTCTCCCATCTGAGCTGTTGGCAGGCTTTTGTGCATTGTTATAAATTAACTTCCAACCAACTGTTGAAATACTTGAAAGGAAAGAATACTTAAGGTGGTTGGATCCTCAATACTAAGGTTTTGTGGAGAAGAGTATTATAATGACAATTTAGTTGTATTATTGCTTTCTACATGGGAGAGACATTTTTCTTGCACTTAAACTGCCACTATACAAGAGAAAGAGAATTGGCATTTCATGAAAGACATCTAGTAGGTAACTTGTACAAGGATTGACATGTGAATGCGTATAATTAGACGTGTAACTTGTTACAGAGAGTTTGGCATACGACTTGTGTAACTGACGACCAGAAAGCGATCGACAAGTTTGATGAAAAAATCAAATCCTCAACCTTCACAAGTCAATTCAAGAAAAAATGAGCATTATAAGTTGACGTTCTGGATTATGACGAGCTATTATAACATTTTGTGACAAACTTGTCCTAATATCATTTGATGCAGCTATTTTAAAAATTGGTTCACGCATACATCCACAAAAGCGTTTTGATATGAGTCAAAATGTCAAATTCATTGTAAAATAAATAATAATAATAATAATAATAATAATAATAATAATAAT